ATAACATAATAAAATGAAATAAAAAAAAGAATATTAAAATAAAAAACAAACAAAAAAAAGAGTTGAAAAAAAGCCACTGAGAACTGGAAAGACTCCACCAAAAAACTGCTAGAATTCCTAAATGAATTCAGTAAAGTTGCAAGATAAAAAAATCAATGTACAGAAATCTGTTGCATTTCTATACACCAATAATGAAGCAGCAGAAAGAGAAATGAAAGAATCAATCCCATTTATAATTGCACCCAAAACAGTAAGATACCTAGGAATAAGCCTAATCAAAGAGATGAAAGACCTGTACTCTGAAAACTATAAAACACTGATGAAGAAATTGAAGATGACACAAACAAATGGAAAAACATTCCATGCTCATGGATTGGAAGAACAAATATTGTTAAAATGTCTATATTATCCAAAGCAATCTGCACATTTAATGCAACCCCTATCAAAATACCAACAGTATTTTTCGCAGAGATAGAACAAACAATCCTAAAATTTATATGGAACCACAAAAGACCCCGAATGGCCAAAGCAACCTTGAAAAAGCAAAGCAAAGCTGGAGGCCTCACAATTCCAGACTTCAAGTTATATTACAAACTTGTAGTGACCAAAACTGTATGTTACTGGCACAAAAATAGACACACAGATCAAAGGAACAGAATAGAAAACCCAGAAACGAATCCACAACTATATGGTCAATTAATCTTCGACTAAGCAGGAAAGAATACCCAATGGGAAAAAGACAGTCTCTTCAGCAAACAGTGTTGGGAAAGTTGGACAGCAACATGAAAATGAATGAAACTGGACCACTTTCTTACACCAAACACACAAATAAATTTAAAATGGATTAAAGACCTAAATGTGATACTTGAAACCATAAAAATCCTAGAAGAGAACACAGGTGATAACCTCTTTGACATAAGCTGTAACAACTTCTTTCTAGATATGTCTCCTGAAGCAAGGGAAACAAAAGCAAAAATAAACCACTGGGACTTCATCAAAATAAAAATTTTCTGAACAGCAAAGGAAACAATCAACAAAACTAAAAAGGCAACCTACAGAATGACAGAAGATATTTGCAAATGACATATCTGATAAAGGGTTAGTATCTGAAAACTATAAAGAACTTATAAAACTCAACACCCCAAGAACAAACAATGCAATTAAAAATGGGCAGAAGACATGAATAAACATTTTTCCAAAGAAGATATACAGATGGACAACAGACATATGA